ATGTGTGTATATGTGTGTGTGTGCGTGTGTATGTGTGTGTATGTGTGTGTATGTGTGCGTATGTATGTGTGTATGTGTGTGTATGTGTGTATGTATGTGTGTGTGTATGTGTGTGTGTATGTGTGTATGTGTGTATGTATGTGTGTGTGTATGTGTGTGTATGTGTGTGTGTGTGTATGTGTGTGTGTATGTGTGTGTATGTGTGTGTATGTGTGTGTATGTGTGTGTATGTGTGTGTGTGTGTATGTGTGTATGTGTGTGTGTATGTGTGTGTATGTGTGTGTATGTGTGTGTATGTGTGTGTGTATGTATGTGTGTATGTGTGTGTATGTGTGTGTATGTGTGTGTGTATGTGTGTGTATGTATGTGTGCGTGTATGTATGTGTGTGTATGTGTGTATGTATGTGTATGTGTGTGTGTGTATGTGTGTGTGTATGTATGTGTGTGTATGTATGTGTGTGTGTATGTATGTGTGTGTGTGTGTGTGTGTATGTGTGCGTGTGTCTTGCTTTGTGGTTCATCCAGACGAATCCTAGCACTTTGAGGAATGATGTCCGCCCCTCCTCCTCCCCCCATAAAAAAACCACACCTTTTACCAGACCTCTCGTTTTTTTATAAGCAATGAATAAATCTTCCCAGTATCTAGGTTATTCAGAGGCGTTTCAGGCACACTGCCACAAAGACTAACATAAAAGTGTCCTGGGCTCCGGGACTTTACAGGAGAAGCATAATTAGCAAAACTCGATTCATTTCGAGAAAGTTTATCATCCTCGAATTTAAAGCAGGAGGAGGCCAGGGTCTTCATGCCGGTCAATTCCCTGTACCCTGGCACACTGCCCTCAGCAAAGGGGGCAACCGGGCGTCTCCCTGCTAAGCCCACCGCTCCCCGTTTCTGAAATCTTTGCCCAGATCTGTAGACACCGAGTCCCAAGGACACTGACACTATGGATGATTTGTCTTTCAGATGAAGCAACAGTGGCTGGCAGAGGGGACTTTTGGACGGCACCAGCCACCAGCTGGAGTGTCTGCCCAGGGCACACAGAGCCCCTTCCCGTGCTGTCCTTAGGGACTCAGAATGCTGGAGGCCACCCCTTCCCTCCTAGATCAGTGTCCCTTCTGCCATGTGACAAGGCAGGGGTGTTGGGACCCATCTGTCCTGGCCATGGAGGCAGAGGAGGGCTGACGGACGGGCGGATGAAGGATCAGGAGGCGGGGCCGCAACGATGGCCTGGGTTTCCCAGCCACCCCCTCACCCCTTGCAAGGCAGCTGCTGCAGTATCCCGCAGGGGGCTCTGATGGGGAATCTTTCCCTCTGTACCACCTCCAGGGATCTCCCTTTAGTTTTGGAGATAATCTTGCCGGGTTGCTCAAGCCAACCTGAAGTTGCAATCCTCCTGCCTCAGCTTCCCGAGCACTGTGATCACAGGAATGAAGCAGCATTTCCACCCAGACCTAGGACCACAGCATCTACAGGCAGGTTTGATGGTCCGCACCTATAATCTCAGCACCACTCAAGAGGCCGAGGCAGGGGGATCGTTGGCAGTTTGAAGTCAATAAGGGCTAAAAGCCAGAAGACCCCGCCTGAAAAACCAACAAAGAAAACTAAACAAACACCACGTGTACCGTGACGATTCCCGGGTTTAAAGAGGCGTTGCTAACATGATTTTTGGCTGACAAATCCCGCCCCTGCGCATTTGTGGGTTATAATGTGGGTGTTCTGGTGTGTCTGTGTACGACGTGGAATGATCAGCTCAAGCTGTTTAACAGTGGCATCGCTGGGCATAGTTATTGCCTCTTGGATATGTGGTAAGACGTTTGAAACGGCACTCCTGGTTATTTTGCAGCACCACACATTCATCCCCGTTGACGACGGTCACCCCGCTGTGCAGTAGACCTCGAGCCTGGCTGAAGCAGTCGTTTTATCGAGTTGTGATGCACATGATACAAACTTGACTGTTAATCATCTTAAGATGGACAATTCAGTGTCGTTTAAGTGTATTTATTGACAGTGCTGTCTTGCCACTGTCTCTAGCTATTTCCACGACGCGTTTGTTATTTCCTGCAAAGGAAACCCCGTCACCCCATTCTCTCCTCCTCAACACCCCTGCCTCCCCTCCCCCCAGTCTGCTCTCTTTCCCTCTGGATTCGTCTTTTCTGGAAATGTCATATATGAAGATTCCCAGTTGTGTGTGTGTGTGTGTGTGTGTGTGTGTGTGTGTGTGTGTGTGTGGGTTTTTTTTTTCTTTTTCGAGACAGGGTTTCTCTGTATTGTTTTGGAGGCTGTCCTGGAACTCGCTCGGTAGACCAGGCTGGCCTCGAACTCACAGAGAACCGCCCGCCTATGACTCCCGAGTGCTGGGATTAAAGGCGAGCGCACCACCAACGCTGGATCCAGCAGTTTACTTAGAGCTGCTGGCACGGATATGGGTGTTTACTAGCGCAAGTGCAACTTACCAGTGCCCGCACCACTGAAGAAGAGAACTTCTCCGGGCAACCATTGATTGCCAGTGGCGACTCGGGAATGGGTGGGGCCTTCCTTCTGAGCTCCTCCCCAGTGCTCGACACAGTAAAGGCCCAGGTATCCACGGCAGCTGTGTGTTCACCGTCACAGCCCGTAGATGACATTCGCAGCACTCCTCCCCGCCCTCCGGCCCTTAAATGTTTCCCCACTCAGGGCTGAGCGCTCAACAAACAACTACTTAGTCTGGGCCCTTTGGCCCGCTGTGAGTCTCTGCATTAGCTGTCACCTCTTGCAAAGCGGAACGTTCCCATCTGAGGCCGAGAGCAGCGGGTGGCGTGGCGGTAAACGCTCAGAAGGCAGTTGGAATATATGTGTGTGTGTGTGTGTGTTTCTTTTAGGAAGACAGCAGCAGTAGGTTCTCCCACGGGGCCTGCTACCTCCCTAGCCATAAGCGTCTGTCCCGGTGCGTAGTACCAGCCACGGGCTCCCCTCCGTCCATCTCAGCGTTCCGTGTAACCGCACGAGCTCAAACGATCAAGGGACACCTTCTGGGGCCGTGCGCCAAGAGAAGCCATTCCTTCTTTCAGTTATTGCCTTAGGAACTTTGGCCAAGGAGGAAAGTAACCACTTCGCTAGGGATTGCAGGATCCTGTCTTCTGCGCCCCCCTGTGGTTGTCTTCGAGGCTGCTCTTGGTGGGTGGCCTGTGCTGGCCGGTCTATGTCAGCTGGACACCAGCTTGGCCACCCGAGAGGAGGGAGCCTCAGCGGGCAAAACGCCTCCATGAGATCGGGCTGCAGGCAAGCCTAAGGTGCATTTTCTTTTTCTTTTTTTCGAGACAGGGTTTCTCTGCATTGTTTTGGAGGCTGTCCTGGAACTCACTCTGTAGACCAGGCTGGCCTCGAACTCACAGAGATCCGCCTGCCTCTGCCTCCCGAGCGCTGAGATTAAAGGCGTGCGCCACCAACGCCCGGCGTGCATTTTCTTAATTAATGACAGATGGGGGAGGGTGGAGCCACCCCTGGGCTGGTGGCCCTGGTTCTATAAGGAAGCAGGCTGAGCAATCGAGTGAGCAGCACCCTCCATGGCCTCTGCATCAGCTCCCGCCTCCAGGCTCCCGCCCTGCCTGAGGGATGAGCACTGGTGTGCAAGTGTGAGCCGAATGAACCCTTTCCGCCCCAAGCGGCTTTTGGTCCTGGTGCTTCATCACAGGAGTAGAGACCCGAACTAGGGAGGAGCAGTGGGGGAGAGGATGGCAGGAAATGAGTTGCTGGTTTGGCAACTCATTTTGGACGTGGGAGACTCTGCTACAGATCATCCGAAGAAGGGTCACCTATGGTACCCAGGGAGCTCTGTCATGAGGTGCTGTGGGACAGTCACGTGCCTGATGAGAGTAAGAGATGGAGGCAGCCACTGCAGCTGGGTGTGGTCACTGCAGCTGGGTGTGGTCATTGCAGCTGGGGGGTGGTCACTGCATCTGAGTGTGGTCACTGCATCTGGGTGTGGTCATTGCAGCTGGGGGGTGGTCACTGCATCTGAGTGTGGTCACTGCATCTGGGTGTGGTCACTGCCACCAGGGGCAATCACTGCATCTGGGTGTGGTCACTGCATCTGAGTGTGGTCACTGCAGCTGGGTGTGGTCACTGCAGTTAGGGGGTAGTTATTGCAGCTGGGGGTGGTCACAGTATCTGGGTGTGGTAACTGCCACCAGGGACAATCACTGCATCTGGGTGTCGACACTGCATCTGGGTGTGGTCACTGCATCTGGGTGTGGTCACTGCTGTCAGGAGCAGTCAGGCCTGGGGGATGATCACAAAGCCTCCTCCCCAGTCCGACCTCAGGCAGTTCACCCCTTTGCGAAGGTGAAACCTCCTCCCCTCTGTCCTGCTTTTCCTTTTCCATTACTGTGATAAACACGGTGACCAAAAGCAACAGGGAGGAAGGGTTATTTCAGCTCACAGGTTTCCAGTCCACCATGACGGGAAGTCAGGGCGGGAGCTCAAGGCAGGATCCTGGAGACGGGAGCTGATGCAGAGGCCATGGAGGGGGAGCTGCTCACTGGCTTGCTCCTCATGGCTTTCTCAGCCTGCTTCCTTATAGAACTCAGGGCCACCAGCCCAGGGGTGGCATCGAGGCCAGTGAGCTCTAAGGTCAGTCGTTCATAAGAAAATGTCTCACAGGCTTGCCCGTAGACCAGTCTGGTGGAGGTAACTCCTCTCCTGACGTTCCGTCTTCCCAGATGACCCCAGCTTGTTTCACGTGGACAAAACTGACCAATGACCTTTCATTACAGATCCAGGTTGGTGTCGGTGCCCACATATTGGTCATCCAGTGGCGGAATCCATCTTTGCTTCTGTGTGGGTGTGTCTGGGCTAGAACGTTCTTCATTCTGTCTGTTTAAAATAAGCTGCTAATAAATGTAAATTAGAAAAGGGGCCAGAGAGCTGGCTCAGTGGTTAACAACACTCGCTGCTCTTGCAGGGGACCTGGTTCCAGGCAACCCATGGTGGCTCACATCTGTCTGTAACTCCAGTTCCCGGGATCTGATACCTTCTTCTGGCTTCCATGGTCTCAGGTACGCCTGCGGGGCCCTCAGGTTCACACAGGCAAAACACTCGTATACATAATAAGTGCACAGATAAAGAAAGAAAGAAGTCTTTTTAAAAAAGACAGACGCAGGCAGGCTTTTTCTTTGGAAATTTGAAGTTGAACGTTCGCCTCTATACATACACCCTTTTTATTTTATTCTGTTGTAGCCCAGGCTGGCCTTAAACTTGTATGCCGCCTCCCTCCGCCTTCCAAGCACAGACACCAGCCACCCCACCTAGCTCATGTTTTCTGAGATTTATTTTTACTATTACTATTTTAAACGAGTTTTTAATCGATTATTTGGGAGTCTCACATCATGCACTGCAATCAAGCTCACCCTCCTCATCTTCCCATATCCATCCCCATCACCCTGTGACCTCCCCGGCCCCGCCCCACCCCGCCCTGCCCCACCCAGGAGAAAAAAGTCCACTTTGTGTTGGCCATATACTCATTCCCTGGAGCATGGTCAGATCCTAGCGGCCAGCACCCTGAGGGAGGACCAGTCTCCCTCCTCCTGCATCTGTAACAGAGGTCACCATCTGAGAAGAGAAGCCCAGCGACCAGAGCCCGCTCTCCCTCACCTGTGCCACCACCTGCATCACCGTCACTCTGGTGTGGGCCAGTCGGGTGCCGGGCCAGCTTTTCTGCACACAGGGACTTTAACATGGCTTCAGATGCTAGCCCAGACCAGGGGCGTCCACACGGGCTTTGGTGGTAACACAGGCTGTGGACACCAGCATGGCCTTTGGCTGTATCGGGACCTTACTCATAGCCCTTGGCATGGCCTCAGGTGGCTATACATGTCACTCACAACAGCATGGCACTCCAAGCAGGAAACCCTGAGGACATCGCCAAGGCATTAGGTGGTGGCACAGACTGCATACGCCCACAGGTTTCCTCAAGGCCCCCCAGGGCAGCAGCATGGACCACCGACATTACCATGGCCTCTGGGCGTCAAGGGCTGTTGGGACTTTTCCAAGGACAGTACACGCTCTTAACCACTGAGCCATCTCTCCAGGCCGTAACTCTTATTTTTTATATGTGTTTTCTTTTTCTCACGTGATTCTCCAGACCTGTGGAGAGTCAGCATAACAGAGCAGTGGGTGCCCAGACCGTCCTGGCTCCTGGAGCTGCCCCATTTCTGGGACACACATGTAAGGAACTGTTAGTGATTAAGGGCTGGCTTCACTGTCCATGGGTTTGGGCCCTGGAAGTTTGGCATTATGAGACTGCTTCAGATTCAAGAAGTGCCAATACACTTTGCTCATTTCTTCATGGGCATTACTGTGACCCCTGCCTTATCAGGTCCGCTGATTTTTCTGGAAAGTAGCCAGGGTGGGCTGGCCCATGCCTACAATTCCAAAATTTTGGAAGCTAAAACAGGAAGGTCAGGAGTCTGAGTCCAGCCTGGCTCGCACGGGGAGTTCTGAGTTCAGACTGTCTTAGTTAGGGTTCCTGTTGCTGTGAAGAGAACCATGACCTCAGCAACGCTTGCAAAGGCAAGCATTCGACTGAGGTGGTGGCTTACAGTTCTGAGGTTTAGTCCATTATCTTTACACCGGGGAACATGGCAGCTGGGAGTATGGTGGTGTTGGAGGAGCTGAGAGTCCTACATCTCGACTCACAGGCAACAGGAAGTGGTCTGAGACACTGGGCATGACTTGAGCATATATGAGACCTCAAAGCCCACCTCCACAGTGACACACTTCCTCCAACAAGGCCACACCTACAGCAACAAAGCCACACTTCCTAATAGTGCCACACCCTATGAGCTTCTGGAGGCCAAATACATTCAAACTACCACTGCATATGTGTGTGTGTGTTTGTATGTGTATGTGTCATTCTGTGTGTGTGTGTAAAATATATGATGGGGGAAGTCCTTCTGTGTATATATTTCACTTACTGGTTAATTAATAAAACACTGATTGGCCAGGCAGGAAGGACATAGCTGGGCAGAATCAGTATATAAGCAGAGAGGAACAGGAAATCGCTCTCTCTTCTCTGTGGAGACACTGAGAAGACTTGATGTAGACCCCAACGGAGTAAGAGGCCCAGACCTTTTCTCTAGTAAGATAAGACCACGTGGAAATACTTCGATTTGTTAGATGGGTTAATGATTAAGAATAAGAAACCTTAGTCAAAGGCCAACAGTTCCCTAATTAATATAGTGTCGGTGTGTCTCTTTGAGGCAGAGAAGGGCCAGAAAACCTGATATTATGTATGTGTGTGTGTGTATGTTTGTGTGCATATGTGTCATTCTGTGTGTGTATATGCGTGTGTGTATTTGTATTTCTATGTATGTGATTAAATGTGTGTGTGTGTTTGTCTTTCTGTGTATGTGACTACATATATATGTGTATTTGTCTTTCTGTGTGTGTGTGTGTGTGTGTGTGTGTGTGTGTGTGTGTGTGTGTGTGTGAGTGCCCCATATGAGGAGGTCAGAAGAGGTAGTCAGATCTGGAGCTGGAGTTTCAGGTGGGTGAGTCACCTGACATGGGTGCTAGATCTTCTTCTGGAAAAGCATTGAGTGCTTTTAACCACTGAGCCCTGACACTTTTTTTTTTGGACAAGGTCTTACTATGTAGCCCTGGCTGTCCTGGAGCTCTCTATGTAGATCAGGCTGGCCTTGAACTTCCAGACCTGCCTCCACCCCCCTGCCCCAAGTGCTGGAATTAACACTTGGTCCTAACACTTCTTTTCAAATTGAAAAGTTAGTAATACTGTAAGTCGCTGGGGTTGATTTGTTTTTTTAACCTACAGTAGATTTTATTTAAAACTGAATATTTAACAGTTTATGGGGTGAGCCTAAAGGCTTGAAATTGCACGTCTATGAGTTTGGGCCTCGTGTTTCGACACCTTGGGTTCTATGCTTTGCTATTTTTTAACTTACCGCAGCAGATCAGGGGGCTCTTAAGCCATCTGTTAACCTTTCTTTCTCCTTAAAAAAAGAAATCACGTTGAGTCGCCTAGGGCAGGAAGACCTACAGCCAGAACGCGGGGCACATCTGAGGAGACACAGGCAGAGCCAGAGCTGGGGCCAAGCCGGGGAGATGTGCAGGCACAGATCATTGGCTCTGACATTTCAAGGCTTGGGCCTATTAATTTTTTATGTTGCGCTACTTGTATATCGTTAATAAAAATCTGACGAAAAAACTTTTTTAGGATGTATTTGTTGCTGTGGCTTTGATCTTAATGTTTGCAAACTAATACATTAATACATGGGAAGCCTTAAGGGGGCTTTCTAAGAGAATATTTCCATACATTATGTTTTCATTTCCATGTGAGGTGGCTGAGCCTCTGTGGGGTTGGTGGCGGCGGCTGCGGCGGCAGCAGCATTAGTGTTGGGTGGGGAATATGTCTTCTTGAGAAACTCACCAGCGGCCAGGAAGCAGGGCAGTGGCATTGGGCTGAACTAGTTAGTGAAATGATCCAGGTGGACGCTTTTTTATTGACAGCCTCATGAGATAGCCCAGGTTGGCCCTGAACTCACCAAGTGTTAGAATCACAGATGCAACCCCCACCCCCACTCCCCATGTTACTTTCCAGGGGTGGGCAACTTCCTCATCAGAATTTTTATCCAGGTTCACTTCTGACATGAGTTTCCATTCCCAAATCGTTCGTTTTGAAAAGGAGGTGGGTACTGCTCATGCTCGTTTGCTATTTGAGATAAGCCGTTAGGCTATTTATTTGCGGTAGGGAAGCAAGACCACAAATCGTTGGACAATGAGGCATAGTTAGCAAAATGTCGCTCAGGAGTCAGGTACATGTTTTTCTAGCATCCAGTAAGGGGAGGCAGGAAGATGGGGGACCTGGAGGCCGGCTTGGGCTATCATCAGAGACCCTGCCTAATGGGGGTGGGTGGTGAGCCACTGTGTCCGTCTATGGAGATGAACTCAGCGGAATGGCACGTCTTTGATCCCTGCTAACTGCCCATCTCCTGGCTGTGGCATCCGTGGCAGAGCTGTGAGAAACTCTCATGTCAGGCCCATGAGCGCGTATTGCTTTGTTACTTATATATTATATATGTGCCCTCAGACACAGGACGCTGCGGCGGCAATTTAAAATAAAGAGTTCTTAAACAGCCCGCGAGATTTGAGGGTCTGAGGAGTAATTTGACGACATCTGAAGATCTGCTTCACAAAGTAGAAATGCACGTGGCATGGCGACGTTGAAAATGATCGCTAACCCAGTTTCGAACACTTTGGGGCGCCGGGCGGGCAGGCGAGCGGGCGAGCAGGCCATCGCCGGGGCTCTTTCATTTGTATGCGACTCGAAAGCCACCGTGAAGAGCCTTGAATATTTATGATATCGATCAAGGATCAGGCGACCTCCAATAGTCTCCGGCTTTCTCACCCTGGTGAAAAGCGTTTGAAATGTCTATCATTCTCCGATGTATGAGCGGTTAATTATTCGGGCGAGTGCGAGGCACCCCTTTCTTTGAAGGAGGCTGTAGGAAATCCTCCTTGCACGGAAGTGGAATTAATCCCCTGCAGTGACCGTGGGGTCAGGGAACTCACTGGTCAGAGATTCTTGGGGCAGTCTTTTACTATTTCAAAACAAATGGCGTCATCGTAAGTCTGGCCATTTTTTTAGATCCACTAGAGGGAGTCTCGAGGTACAGACTGTGTTTTTAATGAAAAGGATTTGCTTGTCATTGAGTTAGTAAATACATTCGTAGCAATGGTCTTGTCCACTGCCAGGCTGGAGTCCTCTGCTCTTTACTCTCGGGGGCTGCCCCGGATAGAAGGACCCGCTTTTTACGCCCCTGAGTTTGCCTGACTTCTTTCTCTCTTTCCTAGCGTTCTTCCTTAATTTTCTATTTCTGCCTACCATCCGGAGGCAATTTTAGTATGCAAATAAGCCTGAGCATTCAGAAACGGAAGCTTTTGAGAGTCTGGTTTAGTTTTTTTTTTCTCCCCCGTCCCTTTTTCTTTTTAAAAGAATCTGTGTTCAGTGCACTAGCTCCACGATAGGAATAAAGCCATACAACTCTCTCCCTGTGACTCCTGCCCGGTAACCTCTCGCTGGTCTCCTTCCTAAGACCCTGGGGACACTTCTGGGACAGAAGTGGGGGATGTAGTTATTGATAATACAAAGCTGCAAACTGGAACCTGCTTAATTTCCCAAAGCTTAAAGATCTTAAAGTAACTTAGACAAGTGGTTTTTTTTGTTGTTGTTGTTTTAAATGTAAGTGCCGAGAGCTTATAGCGCAGAAGCAAGACAACGACCTCCATGGTCCTCCTCAGAGTCGATGCTTCACAAAATGAAATCGCTATCGAGGCAACATTTACATCCAGTGAAACACACAGACTTTAAATCTTCAGACCAGTTGATTTTGATGACGTGGTACGGAGGCCCAGCCACCACCCTACTGGTGGCCTCTGTTACTCCAGAAAATTCCGTCATGTCTCTTCCTGTCATGTGGCTCAGACAAGCAAGATTAATTCGCTGTAGTGATGGCTTATTTTATTTGAACAGACTTAACTCACTTTATTTTTCTTGTATGAAGTCCTTTCTTTATAGGGTGGTCGCAGCTGGAGTCTAATGCTCTCACTCAGGATGGTTTTTTTTTTCCTAGTTCTGTCCATTTGCCTGCAAATTTTAGGATGTCATTGTTTCTTACCACCAAGTAGTACTCCATTGTGTAAATGTACCACATTTTCTTCAACCATTCTTCAGTTGAGGAGGAGCATGTAGGCTGTTTCCGAGATCTGGCTATTTCAAATAATGTAGCTATAAATATAGCTGAGCAAATGTCCTTGTGGTGTGAATGTGTCTCCTTTGGGTATATTATGCCCAACAATGGTATTGGAGGGTCTCGAGGTAGGTTGATCCCTAATTTTCTAAGACATCACCATACTGATTTCCACATTGAGCCTGGGTCCTCTAAAAGGAGACTCTGGTAGGAGTTTTCACAAGATGGTCAGTGAATTCCTGAAAAGGAGACGTGATGGACACGGTCTCTTTCCAGAGGTCAGGGTGGGGTGGGGCGTTAAATAGCTGTGGGTCTTGGAGATAGCATCCAAGGTGGCCTTGGCGGTTATGGCAGTGCAGCTCCTGGCTGAAACGCAGCAGCCTCAGCGCCACTCATTATCACCAGCTTCTTGGGCACGGGAGTGGGGATGATGCCAGTGCCTCTGGGGGCAGGGGTGATGCCCACCACCACAGAGCCACAGCGGCCCGCCCCCTCACATGGTGAACAGTGTGGGGCTTATCAAGCTTGTTCCCCAGTAGCCTCTCCACACAGGGACAGTGGAAAGAAAGCTTGGCCAAGATGGTGGCCCCCTCGGATGGCACCGACTAGCTCCTTGGAGCATTTAGCAGCAAGACCAACATGACCATTGTGGTCCTCAGCAGTGGCAAAAGCCTCGAACCTGGTCCGCTTGCCAACCCAAGTTAGGTTCTGCACTGGCATGGTCTTTAGAACTTTTGTCCCTCTGGGATGCTCCCAGCAAAAGGCTGGTCACCTCTGACTCCTTAATGGGCAGGGAGAACGGGTAGATCTCCAAGGACTTCATCTTCTTGTCGAATTCAGTTCTCCACGAATGTAAGGGCTCCCTTACAGAGTCTCGGCTCTCTTCCATCCATTCGTCCTTATGCCAGTGCCACGCTGTCTCAGCTACAGGATCTTTGTAATAACCTGTGAAACCAGAATGTAAAACTCTCCAGCTTGTCCCTCAAAAAAAGATTTAAAGATTTAAATTTATGTGTATGTGTGTGTGTTCATACATGCAGGTGCCACACAGGCCAGAAGAGGGCGTCAGATCCCCTGGAGCTGGAATTAGAGATGGTTGTGAGCCGCCGTGTGGGTGCTGGGAACTGAACTCAGGACCTCTGGAAGAGCAGCCAGTGCTCTCAACCTCTGAGCCGTCTTTCCAGCCGCCTTCAATTTGCTCTTAATTTTCCAGATTATTTTTTAGCTAATCCGTGTCCCTTAGATTTGTATATGAACTTTGGACCAGCTTGTCCGTTTCTGAAAAGGAAGTCACCTGGGACTTCCGTCATGCATGCACTGAGTCTTGTCTTGTCACGATACCACAGCCTCTGATGAAAGCGTTCAGATCTACCTAATAACTTTAAGAGATTCTTCTGTAGTTCTATGTTGCTAGAGCTTCTTTCCAGCCACAACCGCTTTGCCCCAGATAAACACACAAAGACTAATATTAAGTATAAAACTATTTGGCTGATGGCTGGCTTTTTGTTTGTTTGTTTGTTTTTTGGTTTTTCGAGACAGGGTTTCTCTGTGGCTTTGGAGGCTGTCCTGGAACTCGCTCTGGAGACCAGACTGGTCTCAAACTCACAGAGATCCGCCTGCCTCTGCCTCCCAGGTGCCGGGATTAAAGGCGTGCGCCACCAACGCCCGGCGATGGCTGGCTTCTTACTGGCTAGCTCTGTCTTAACTATTAGCCCATGTCTATTCATCGAAGTATTTCTACATGGCCTTATCTCACCAGAGAACTCCTGGTGCATCCTGTCTTCCCGGGCTCTACCGGTGTCTCCCTCGCGGCTTCCTCTCTCTCCTGACTCCTTCCTCTCCCAGCCCTGCCTGTCCTTCCTGCCTGGCTATTGGCCAAAACAGCGTTTTATTCGTCAGCCAATAAGAGAAGCATCTGCACAGAAGGCCGTTCCCCCATCAAGTTTATGTGTAACAGCCTGGCCTAACTGTCGGTTTCCCTCTCTGGACTTTGTCATTCTTTCTGTAGCCACGGGACTAGTGACTTTCAGGGCGGTAGCTGCATGGTACAGATTGGCCTTCAAACAACCCAGTTCTCCAGGACCGCTACCATGGTTCTCCAGGACTGCTACCAAGGTCCTGGTCACTCACGAGGTGCCCTTAGGCCAGGAATGCTTGTCACCCCGGGATGAGGGTCGTCAGGCTTGCAGTGTTAGGACTCCATGACTAAGAACGGTGATCGATTAGCGATGTCTGCCTTGGCAGACACAGGGGCGTACTAAATCAGAGCGGCTGCTTGCCGGCTGTGGACTCAGAAAGAAGCAACGTGGGTTGGCTGGCTGTATGGTCCCACCCGTCAGGCCACCAAGAGGCTGCACAGCTGAGAGCGACTTCTCTCTGGCATGGATGCAACAGAGGGAGGCTGGCGTGGCATCCGGCAGAGGACCCGATGACCAGTTGCC